AAGAAATCAGCACAGAGGCAAAAGCTGGCACGCTGGCCCTGCCCCCTTCCCCTGCTCTGCCCACCACCCCGGGAGGACCCAGGTGCCCCGACACACCTCTCACACCCTTCCCGGCTCTGCTCTCCTGCTCATTTTCGTATTTCCTTGGTCCCCAGACTCTCACTGCCTTGCCATGTTCTGCACACCCTCCAAGCCTCTTCCACGTTCCCACTGACTCTTCAAAGATGGTGGGGTAGGTACCGGGAGGCCCCCTGGCTTGGGGAGTTGAAGCCTGGATCCTTACCCCGCTCTGTGACTTTGGGCGAATTGCTTGACCTCTCTGAGCCTCAGTTTCCTTGGGTCTCAAGCAGAATGGGTGTGATGAGGGGTGAAGGAGATTATGAACGTGAAGCCCCAAGTACAGTGCTAGACACAGAGGCGGTCCCAAATCGGAGCAGGGGCGACGTGAGTGGTAAATGCCCGTCACCCCCAACTTCAGCTCCTTGAAAGCCAGGCTGACCTACACTCCCAGGGCCTCTGGACTCTCCCCGCCACCGCACCTGCTGAGCTCCTGGGGTCTGTCAGCCACGGCAAGAGGGCTCATATAGCGTTGAAACAAAGATAATGGCAGAAACGCAGGCCCATGGGCTCAGCTCTGGGGGCGGGGGGGAGGCGTCAGGGACCCAGAGGTGGCACTGGGGGCTCTTCCCGGGACAGGGCAGCCCTGCCAGGACCCTGACCCAACACCAGGCCGACTTACCCACTGTGCAGAACAGACACAAGGCCGTCTAAATGTTTTAATTTCTCTTAAAATCAGGAGTGGAGTGGGAATCCATTTTAGGGCACAAGCAAATCTCACTTCAGAAAAAATAAAATGTTTAAAGCCCATGAAACTTTATTATGCTGGAAACAGCCTGCAAAAGCCACACCGCAGCCCTGACCACGTCTTCATTCACTCAACCGCATATCCTGGGCAGGGTACTTCCTGTTGGTTCTTATTTGATCCTTATGATCTTGTCTGGTGGCACACACATCATTTTTCTCCCTGAGATGAGGAAGGTAAGGCTACTGGAGGGTAAAGATGTTGCCCACAACTTAGATGTGACAGAGGTGGGATTTGAATGCAGGTCCACCTGAGTCCAAATGCTTTTCTTCCCTAGACCACACCCTTTGCAAGTTCATCATCTTATTTGATTTATAGCATAACGGTGGGATAATCAGTCCCATGTTGGTTTTTTTTTTTTTTTTTTTTTCAGCTGCACCATTCAGCTTATGGGATCTTAGTTCCCTAATCAGGGATCAAACCCACACCCTGGGCAGTGAAAGTGTGGAGTCCTCACCACTGGACTGCCAGGGAATTTTCAACCCCATTTTATTTTCTAAGGTGGTTTTTTTTAATGTGGATCATTTTTAAAATGTTTATTGAACGTGTTACAATATTGCTTCTGTTTTATGTTCTGTTTTTTTGGCCACAAGGCATGAGGGATCTTAGCTTCTCTACCAGGGATCCAACCCACATCCCCCTGCATTGGAAGGTGGCCTGAACCACTGAACCGCCAGAGAAGTCATCCGACCCCATGAGAAAGCAGAGGAAACTGAGGAGAATTGGACCCCTTGCTGCCTGGGTCCTTTCCTCGTAGTCAGTGAGGGTGGGGAACCAGCCCCTCCTCCTGCGCCCCTTCCTACGGCCCCGTCCAGCCCAAAGCCCTTTCCTGCACCCCCCACGGTGCCCAGCCTCTGCCCTCACTGCGGGCACCCTGTCCAAGTGGCTCACCTGCCCTCCTTCCCGCCTCCCCCCCCACAGAGGAGCTGCCCACATCCCACCTCCTAGCAAAGCCGCCACCTGAGAGGGAGGGAGAGGAGAACGCAAAGGTTCAGATGCAAACCTGGGGCCCCAGACAAACGCCCCTCTGTATCTCGGCCGTGGAGACTGGCTGCGGGCCAGCGCTCCCTGCGGGCGGGCGGCTTGAATGGCCGGGATTGTTCCCGCACCTCCTGTCCCTGTCTGCTGGCCAGCGCCTGCCAGGCTCCCCCCACACGGACAGGAAAGGGGAGGGCCATTCCTTCTGGAATGGAAGGTGTGGGAGGCAGGCGAGCCTTGGGGAGGGTGGGGGGTGGGTGATGTGTCCTGAACCAAACTGGGGAGGCGGGAGAGTCACAGGAGGGAGGGAGCGTGAGAGGGAGGTCACCGTCCCAGCCCGCGCCCTTTGCAGGGGAACAAACTGAGGCGCAGACAGGACAGGTGACTTGCCCAAGGTCACACAGCGCGGCAGTAACAGAGGTAAGACTCGAACCCTGGACTCCTAACTTCCAGCCCAGGGCCCCTGGCCTCCCACGTCAGGCCTCACGGTTGGGGTTTGGGTGCTGAGCCTGCTGAACTGGTGAGGTCGTGAGCGCCATAGCCTGGGACTTTGAGACGCAAAGGAAGAGTGTCATGTAACAGGCTCCACAGCACTAGTTTCCTCTAGCTCTGTAGTCAAGTGCAGATGCTGCAGACAGAGTTCATCCTCGACTCCTTCATCACAAAGACTTGAAGGTTGGCCAAGCCCTTGCCAAAGGTGGAGGAGAGACCGAGAATCAAAGGGAGACCGCTGGAAAGTCAACATCAGGGGTAACCTCAGGTTATTGGATCTTGTAGGACGGCACTGGCCTGGGTTCTTAAATCAGAAGCAGCTAGCTGGGGCACTGGGGGTCAGGGCGCCTGGTTCTGAAGAGACTTGGGTTTGGTTTCTTCTCTGCACTCCCAAGCCCAGTTTTTTTTTTCCTTCGGAGGTTCAGAGTGGCCTGCCCACGGTGGACACAACTCAGTCACACCTCTGTGTTCTTGCTTCAGCAGGCGGCAGTGAGAAGTAACTCAGAAGCCTTAGTTGGTGTGTTTTAGGGATGTAGCACAGCTACCAGGCAGGGTGGTTGAATGCAACGCTGCGGGGGGAACACTGGGCCAGGTGGGACCTCATTGCACTCACCGGCCGGGGTTCCTTTGGGTTGTCTTTGGCTCTTGCTATTGTTGTTACTGACCTTGTCTTGGGTGAATCAGAAAGGCGTTCTGGAAAAAGTACCCAGTGAACGACCAACGCGCCCTCCCGTCCGTGTGCCCCGGGCACCTCGCTGGCCCCTAGCTTTCCCATTTGTAAGGAGAGTTTTCAGAGTGGCTTCCACCAAACCAGTGATCACAGGCGCTGCCTCCTAGGATCGCCGCAGAAGGTGTGGGGACCAGGGAAAGAAACCTCGTGGGGAGAGGAGTGGAAGGGAGGAGCCTTTTGGAGGCACTGAATTTTCCATCATAAGTTCATCCCACAAATTCTCCAGCAAAAGAGTGGATCTCCTTTCACTCTGGACAAACACATAGAAAATTGACCAGTTTCACTTTTTTCTTGGCTGGCAGAATTCTCCTGCACCTCCCTCCACCTGTTGGTTGGACTGGCTACCCACAGCATCACCTGGGCGCCCCCTGGTCCCTGGGTCCTTGGAGTGTCTCCTGCAGCTCACTCCTCCGCTTTCACGGGGCAAATCCTCCAGGAAAAGGTGCATGGGGCAGGGTCGATTTTTTTGTGTGTGAAGCTTTTTGTGCCCCTAAATGTTGTTCTTCTACCCTTCCACTCCGTATTTAGTTTGGCGTCTGTCCACTTCTAGGCTGGAGATAATCTTCCCTTAGAATTTTGGAGAGTTAGCTCAAAGCTTCAGGACTGCTGCTCTCAAATCCACGGACATTCTGGTTTCATCTGAGTGTTGATCCTTTTCTGGATATTTGACCTTGTTTTTTTTTTTTATAATTGATAGATGTGTGGGACATTCTCTTTACGCCCCGTGTTCTGGGAGGTAATGATGACGAGCCCCGTTGTGCATCTTTTATATTCACTTTTCTGGTGAGTCCACCATCTTCTTATTCCGAAAATTCAGGTCATTCATTTCTGGGAAATTTCCAGGTATTCTTTGATAATTGCTTCCCCTTGATTTTTTTTCCACTTAATCACTTCAGGAATTCTTATCATTAGAATGTTGGACCTCCTGGAGTAATTTGTTTTTGCCTCTTTTCTCTCTCAGTCTTTTTTGGTTCCACTTTACGAGACATTTCCTCGACTGTCTTCGAATGCTTCTATTGAACTTTTACATTTCTTTTGTCATATTTTAAATTCCTAGCGCTCTTTCTTGTTCTTAGAATATTCTTTTCTTATAGCATTCTGTTTTTGTTTTATAAATATAGTATCTCATCTTTCCGAGGATGTTGAAGTTTTCTTCTGCCTTTTCATTGTCTCCGTTGGCAGGGAAGGGATGGATTTGAGCTGCAAATTTCTCTTTCCAGCCCCATTTCATACCCTGGCTTTTGGTAGTATCAGCAGAATCTGGGGTTTCTTCTGTGCCTTCAGCTTTTGTTGGTTTCCCCAGTCTGCAGGTTTGAGCCTCAGTCTTTGCCAGGCTGCTCAGTCACACTTAGCCTTCAGCTTTTCCAACTTTCAAACCTGGACTGGACTCTCTCCAAAGTGGCTGTCATCTCTCCTTTCCCTTTTGACCTCGTGGAGTCGTATGTCCAAATTCCTTCACTGCCATTTGTGGGGGGTGGGGTGAGTTTCAAGAGGAAGCAGAGATAATTATATTCCATTTGCTCTGGTTAACCAGAATTCCCTCTTGCTTTTTTTTTTTTTTTTGTCTGCATTGAGCTGCCTGCTGGATCTTAGTTCCCCCATCAGGGATCGAACCCATGTTCCCTGCAGTGGAAGTGCAAAGTCCTAACCACTGGACTGCCAGAAAAGTCCCCCTCCTGCATTTTTTGAACAACAAAGATAGATCCTACACTTGTTTCTCCTAGGATGAAGCAAACCAGAGTTTGTCCTTCTTACCTGTTGTTTTCCTCTGGGCCCAGAGAAACATAGATCCTACAATTGTTTCTCCCAGGATAAAGCAAACCAGAGTTTGTCCTTCTTACCTGTTGTTTTCCTCTGAGCCCAGAGGAACCAGCTCTGAGTCCCTGCAGAGCCTGGAAGTTGCTGTGAGAAGTAGAAGGCTCTGCTGCCTGTCGGGAGATGGAATGCCCAGCTCGCCCACTCCATGTGAGTTCTCTATCCTGTGAAGAGATGGATAGGCTCATGGAGGGGCCAGGACATCCTTGCAAACCACAGCTGGGCAGGGAGGGGGCTTATAAAACTAGAGACATTCTAAGCCCTTGGCAGGGAAGAGATTTGTCTGTTCAGGCAGGAACGGGCAGGGAAGGCTCGAGAGGATTGAATACAAACCTTTGGGTCTGACAGATTAGAGTCTGAATCCTATATATTAGCTCCCTTAACAGGGAGGAGATTTGAAAAGGAAAAACTGAGAATGAGACTTCCCTGGTGGGACTCCAAGCTTCCACTGCAGCGGGCCCGGGTTTAGACCCTCGTCAGAGAACTAGATACCACATGAAACTAAGAGTTCACATGCTCCAACTCAAGACCCAGCATGCAAAGGACAAAGATCAAAGGTCCTGAGTGCCACAACTAAGGCCTGGTGCGACCAACCAAATAAATAAAAAGAAAAGAAAAATTGAGAATGGTCACCAGTTAACTGGGCAAATTAATCCCACTGATGGGACCAAACTGGGCAAATAAATCCCACCAATGGGACCGAATCCTGGCAGGCACAGGCTAGAGCAGGGTGGGCCTTCAGGACAGGGCGAACTGCAAGTGTATTTGTAGTCGGGCTGGGAGTAGGCGCTGAGATGTGAACTCAGCTCATGCGGCAGGGGCAGGATCGGGCCTGCCCAGTTGCCTCTCGAGCCCGCTCCCCACACCCCTGCCCTGCCTGCCCAGTGTCTCCCGGACCCCTTCTCTGCTCCTCTCACGGCAGCTCTCCCGTACTGCCTCGCAATGTACCTCGTACCTGCTCCTCCTCGGCGTGTCTGCATCTCCCGCAGCGCCTGGCCTGTGAGATGTGTCAGTTCAGGCAGAACGGGGCTGAGGAAACAGGTGTGAACTGACTACAGACCTTGAAGTCCAACAGATATGGGTCCTGTCTATGAGGCTGAGTAATGGTCCCCTCAAAGATATCCGCATCCTGATCCCCAGGTGGCCAAAAAAAAATTCATTAGCATCCCCTTAAATTCCTTAGTTCCCCTAGTTTCCTTTCCTTCCTGATCAGAATGTTGGGGTTGAATTATCTTCCTCTGACATATTTGCATAGAGCCATCAACTCTTTACCCTTGTGCCTTTTTTCCCTTGGGGACAGTGGGACACCTGGAGATTTATATAGGAGCTCAGGTATATTTGAGGACCCTTGGAAGCTGGGCCCTTGGCTGGAGCCCAAAGACTGAGGGGTAAATGTACGGCGCAGGTCACATTCCGGCTCTTGGTCAGTCTCAACCAGGACGCCCACTGGTCTCCTCCTCCCACTGACTCCTGGCACACCCTATGCCTCCCATTTGGCACCAGGCATAAGTCTGCCTTGTGACCACTTTCGCCTGGGATTTCTGTCTGTAACTTTGGACATGAAAATTAGACTTGCAGGTCTTGGGTGGGAAGCTCCTTGAAATATCTTTTCTATACAATGTGGGCCACAAAAATCAGAAACACAGGATGTTCAAGCCTGAATTTGACAGGTGGGTAAATAAAACTTAATAGATGTGGTAGACCTGGAACCCAGACTTCCAGATCCACAGGCCACTGCCTTTTCCAAAGGACTTCAATATGATGTTAATCAGCCACCTCTCTGTGATCAAGGCTGGGCCGGGCATGAGGGGGATGATCCCCACTAACTGCTGATAGAAGGAGATTTTCTTAAAAGAAATAGTTTCATCCTCTTTGTCTGAGCTGTAGAGACATGATCCCTGTGGCCCCTCTTTGAGTCATCTCAGAGCTGTGTTCATGGTGGGTGCTTGTTGAATGAATGACGGAAAGTGGACAGAACAGGTGGGAAAATGACTGTGTGCACAGTGGGTGGGTGGATGCGTGGATGGGAGGATGGAAGAGTAGATGGATACATGGAACAAGAAATGGGCTTCCTAATTTTTAAGAGCCAACTGCAAGGAACGTAGTCAGTATGTAATTGTGGCGGGGGGAGGGGGGACTAAGCTCCAGGTAGTATGATGCCAACTCAGCCCCCACCTTCGGGGGCTCTGACACACGAGGGGACAGAACCAAGTACAGGCAGAGCAATTAGAGCCGGGGGAGGTGACATGGGACCCAACAGGAATGGAGGGTGTAGGCGGGAGCCAGTCTGGATTCAGGCAGACTGGGATCACCATGTACTCAACAGAGCCTTTGGAGGTTCAAACCCCTCTGTAGAGTTCTCCCTGTTTTATTCCAGTCTCAACTACCTTCCAGGAAGGATTCCTGCCTTCCATCCTGAATTGTACACACCGTCTTCCCTCATCCAATATCCCCCGAGTCGATAGCTACAAAGAAAGATGAGCTTTCAGAAGACACAGGGTCTTGAGATCAGCTATGAATGGCTAGTCCATACCCTAGAACCACAGGTGGAAAGGCCCTTAGAGATCATCTCCAAACTAGGCCATTTTGCAGGTGGGAAAATCAAGGTCTAGGGAAGACGATGACTTTCCAAAGTCTATAGCAAGTGAGTAACAAAAGGAAACCCATGTCTCCTGAGTCTCACCCCAGGTTAAGAATTCTTTAATGCTTTTCCCTTGCACACCCAGCAGCCCCCAGGCCCTACCAGTCCCGTTAGGACTTTTGCCTGCTTGGGGTTGGTTTCACTCTTTCCTCTGTCTCTGCCCTCGGTGGAGATGGAGGAGAAGGTCAAAGTTCTGGATGTTCTGATGAGTCTCTCCTCAGATCCCCTTCTTGGGATATCAGCCTTCACAGTCTGGCTCCCTGACTGCTTTGTTCATACTTGAGCTCGACCAAGCACAGCAGACACTTGATCGGGTGGAGAACTGGGGGCTCCAAGAAGAGTAGGGGGAACATAGACTGGGCGGGGAACAGGAGAGAAAAGAGAAAAGGAGCTAGGATGAACATTCACTGATCACCCACCAGCCAGCAGGCACTTTGTTCATTGTTCAGGTGCTCGGTTGTGTCTCAGTCTTTGCAACCCCATGGACTGCAGCATACCAGGTTTCCCTGTCCTTCACTGTCTCCTGGAGTTTGCTCAAACTCATGTCCATAGAGTCAGCAATGCCATCCAACCAACTCATCCTCTGTCGCCCCCTTCTCCTCCTGCAGGCACTTATAACATCTGGGCAGTTATAACATCTCATTTATTCTCAGAACCGCACAAGATAGGGAATGTTTTATAAATGAGACTGTTTTTCCTGTTTATAAATGAGACCACTGAGGCCTAGAGAGGTGGCTTGCAGAGCTGGTCAGCAGGGATCCCAAGATTAAAACCCAAGACTTCCTGACCCGAAAGCCCCTGCCAGGTCCCGAGCTCCCAGACCATGTGCTTTGTCACAGTAATATCAAGAGTTCTCAAAGCACCAACAGGAGCTGGAGTTTCTCTTCTAAGGACCCAATCAACAAGGTCAAGTCTAACAGGAATCAGTGCAAAGTCCTGCATGCAAGTTCAAAAAGACAGCTGCACAAGAGTGTCCTGGGGGTCTGGTTACTAGACCACAGCCCATCATAATATCATCACCATGCGTAATACAGCTATCATTGCCTTCTAGTTCCAAAGGACTCTGAGTGTAGAAAGTCCTTTCATGTACTGATCGTAGGGCTTTGACTGACCATAAACAAACACAAGATAAGTCAGGAAAAGGCAACTCAACAGGGTGTGTGGAGCAGTGGGCTGTAGCTGCTTGAAAAGCTGGTAAGCTATTTGTTTGCATTAATCCAGTGTAATATCAATAGGTTTTGTGCCCAGTCCCTGTGTTAAATGTATCACATGTTTTATCTCATTTAATTCTCACATGACCCTGTGGAGTCTATAATTCTTGCTTTACGGATCAGAAAACTAAGAAGTGAAGAAAGTTGACCAAGGTCATGCAGCTAGTAAATAACTGAATTCAAGCTCAGGTCTGATCATTGTCAAGAAAAATGTCATTCTGGACAGTTCAGGTCCCCTTTGGAGTGAAGCACATGGTTTGGGGTATTTTATTTAAGGAAGATACTGACACATAAAGAAACGAGGAACCTATTCATGAGGGATACTAAAGATTGTTTGAAGAAGCTGAGAATGTTTATCCTGGAGAATAAAATCATCAGAGAACATATAGTTGCTGTTTTCAAGGGCAGAAAGCATCTCTACTAAGAAACATGTTGGATTCACAGGACATTTGCATGTGCTCAGTCATGTCTAACACTTTGCAACCCCATGGACTGTAAGTCACCAGGTTCCTCTGTCCATGGAATTTTCCAGGCAACAGTACTGGAGCAGGTAGCCATTTCCTATGCCAGGGGATCTATCAAACCCAGGGACTGAACCACCCGTCCTGCATCGGCAGGTGAGTCTTTACCACTGGGCCACCTGGGAAGCCTGACAGGACATTTACCAACCATTTGTTGGTTACGTTCCAAGGGACATACTATAGTGAAAGAAAGAGTGAAGTTGCTCAGTCGTGTCCAACTCTTTGCGACGCCATGGACTGTAGCCTACCAGGATCCTCAGTCCATGGGATTTTTCAGGCAAGAATACTGGAGTGGGTTGCCATTTCCTTCTCCAGGGATCTTCCCGACCCAGGGATCAAACCCGGGTCTCCCACATTGTAGGCAGACGCTTTGCCGTCTGACTCACCAAGGAAGTTCAAAGGGACATACTATAGCCAACTGCTGTTGCCACCTACTGGTAGAAGGTAAAAATGACATGTTGATTTCGGCCACCATCACTGTTCCATTCATAGAACCTTAGCTTTTTGTACGTGGAAGGGCTTTTAAAAAGGTCCATTGTCGTGTGTAAGAGGTAAGGGGTTGCCTCTGTGGGAAGAGAATTAGGACCAATGGGTTAAAATCACAAGGGAAGAGATTTTGGTCCCAAAATGAAAGTTACTTTTCTGACAATTAAACCATCCCACTAACCTCAGGGACAGCTTGGGAGTAGTTAGGTTTTTGTCTGTGGAAGAAACCAAGTCATGCTAAATCTCCCCTCTCTCAGATGAATGAGAGAAATCAATCCAGTGTCTTGGCAGGTCTCAGGCATTCATGGCTTCCCTATTCTGAGTTATAGTTGGCCATTTGCGTAGGGGTCTGCCAGGCTTGATAGCATCTGGGTTTTCTTATCCAGGGAGGAACATCTAGGCTAGGTCAGAGAGAAGAAGGATACTGTGGGGGCAGAGCAGAAGGGAGGGGGATAGTCTGGACAGGTGGCAACATTGATCCTCCAGTTATGACCTTATGGACTTCCCTGGTGCCTTAGACAGTAAGGCATCTGCCTAAAATGTGGGAGACCCAGGTTCAGTCCCTGGGTCGGGAAGATCTCCTGGAGAAGGAACTGGCAACCCACTCCAGTATTCTTGCCTGGAAAATCCCATGGACGGAGAAGCCTGGTGGGCTACAGTCCATGGGGTCAGAAAGAGTCAGACACGACTGAGCGACTTCACTCACTATGACCTTATACTTGACCAAGGAACAGAGAAGGATGGTTCAGCGAGTAAATGTCATGACTCTCCATCTCTTCCCAAAATGACCTCCCACATGAGGCCATTTGTAAACAACCCAAGGAAACAACAGCTCCTTGTAGATTCTGTAAAGGTGATTAAGGCTCTGCTGGAGACAGAGGTTCAGAGTATAGGCAAGGTCAGGAACCAGTCTGGGTCAGGGTTAGATGAAGAGCTCTGGCCTCTCTCTCTTCCGCAGCCTGTGAGGGTCTTCTCATCAAAGCCCTACATTGATTTGGCCCCCAGATGCTGGCCATTGCACCTTGTGCATTCTCTGGGGAGCAGTCTAGTGAGAGTTTATGGAGAAGGGGCTGTGAAATTAGACAAACCCTAGCTTGAATCCCAGCATAGCTACATATTAGCCCTGTGAAGTTAGATTGATATCTTCCCTGATCTGGGTCTCAGTTTCCCCATCTGTAGAATGGGCACAGTGACTGTATTCTCCTAATCAGACAGATATGAGGATTCAATGAGACCTCTCACATAAATCACTGAGTACAGTGCCTGGGGCACATGGTGTATTATTATTATTATTATTAAATTAACCTCTGTCCATGAAGATCAGCCTCACCTCCCTGTACACTCCCCCATTTTCTGTGGCCATGGGCCCTGGTCATGGACATATTTGACACTGACATCTCCCTGCTGGACCTCACTTGGTTAATAAGAATCACAGGGGCCCGACACATGAAAACACCCACACCCTTGGCTATCAACGCTCCACCACCCTCCCTCCCACCTTCTCTATGTGGTCGGAACAGAGATGTAATTGAGAGCCCTTGGCCCTTAGATGAGGCAAAATATGCTCTGGGATTGCTCACTCTTCTCTCAGAAAGAGGAGCAGCCGGGCCCATCTGGAAGGGAGTCCCTCCTGGAACCCGGCACCCAGGAGGTCACCCTGAAGGACCTGCGGAGGAGCCTGTGCCCTGGGGGCCCTAGACGGCTCCGTTACTGGTCAGTATGTACCTGTGTGCATGTGTGCGTGTTCCTGTAGTGACTGGTCTTGAGCCCCCATCCCCACCCCGGGTGTGTACCAAGGGCAGGTGATGCGGAGGGAAGGATACAGGCTTTGAAGTTTGCAGTCCTGGGTTCATTTGCCAAGCCTGTAGTATTGAGGCCATATGGAAAGTCTCAGGGTCCTCATTGAAACAAGGGGAAAGGAAGACCTATTGTACATGGCATTTGCTAATTAAATCAGAGGATGGATAAAAAATATCTGGCACAAGGTCTTTGCACATGGCGGACACTCAGATGATGGCTTCAGTCAATTCTGTGCTTGTTGGTTTAACAGGGAATGAGTCCATGATAGAGTTTACTTTATCTAGTGATTATGCCATGTCTCTCTCCTTAGGTGACCTTTGGTCAATGGCCACCTATTTGCCTCTTTTTTCTATTTTTAAAAGGAACTGTGGGTAACTCCCTAGCGGTCTAGTGGTTAGGACTCAGTGCTTTCACTGCCACGGGCCTGGGTTCAGTCCCTGATTGGGGAACTTAGATCCTGCAAGCCACAAAGTGTAGCCAAAAAAAAAAAAAGAAAAAGAATTGTGAGAAAGCATTACTGGTGAGTGTGCTCAGCTTGATATTGGTGGAGACAGAAGCAGAGAGTTTAGGCAAACGCATATTAAAAAAGTCTTTATGTGCCAAGATGGGGAGTGTGTGTTGTGGGAGGGAACCTCTCCCTGGGAGTAGGAGTTGGGGGTGGATGGTTGGGGAAGACTTTTATGCCATGTTCTCTTATTGGTCCATACTTATTTTTATAGAAAGAATTTTTTTTCCTGTTTTGAGCTCCTGTCTCTAATTAGTTCAGCAAATACTCACTAATACCTGCTGAAAATCCTAAGAGATACCCTTTATTGAGCACTTAAAAGCACTTTTCATACTTAACCTTGAACCCTCAGTTCCCTTGGGAAAAGCTGTCTCCTTTTACAAACAGCAAACCCAGCTGGGAGAAGTTCAACCACTCACCCAGGTCCTTCCACCCACAAAGGTGAGGAGAGCCAGACTCTTTTTATCTGAAGAAGGCAGAAAGATGTGGGGGAAAAGCCAAAAGCAGTCTGTAACTCAAGGGCCTGACAATGAGCGCGGAAAGTTGGCTGCCAGACACAGAAGAGAGCCACCGGCTGTGGCGGCGCGTCTTTGCCGAGCCGCTGAGGGAGAGCAGAGGGCAGGAGGGTTGATTCTGTCTGGCGGGAAGTCTTCCTGGAGGTGACCAGGCTGAGCCTGGAAGGTTCCTTTTGGAGGGGGAGTGGGCAGCGGAGCGTGGCTGGCAACCCAGGCCTGTTTAAGGTGGTCGGGAGACAGGAAGCCCAGCCAGGCGGAAAGGTTGGCCAGTGTGGGGACGTCAGAGGGGTCTTTCAGGGAGCCTGAGTCACCCAAGCCCTGAGGGTCTGGTTCAGGGGAGGAAGGGACAGACAACGCGGGGCTTGGGCCTGTGACTAAGGCAGGACTTCAAGGCTTAAAGGAGGGCAGAGACGGTGAAGGCAGAGCCCATCCTGTGGATCAGCAGACCTGGCCACGCGGGGTCATTCTGAGGTTGAGAATGGGAGCGCTGGCTGGGAACAGGTCGTAGTCTCCAGAGCCACCAGCCTGGCTGCAGGTGACCCCGATGGAGGGGTGCTGGCCCCTGTTTCCATCACAAGCTGGCAGAGGTAGGGGACCTGAAGGGGGCCAAAGCCTGGGGCCGCAGCTCAGAGACAGCAAAGACTGGGAGTGATGTGGGAGGATGGAGTGGCCCATTGTCCCAGCGATTTGACAGAGGTTGATGTGGGGAGCCAGGAGGCTGGAAAAGAGGTTGGAAGCAGCCAGTGATGGGCTTTCACTGCCAGACATTCAGGTGTGGGTGCCCAGGAGATGACTTGTTTTTGAGCCCGGGAATGCCATGATCAAACCTGCTGGGTCTCACTCCCAGCAGAATGCGAGCTTCTGGAGGCCAGGAGTTGTTGGCCTTTCGGCCGAGTTCCCCATTTCCCTAACTGGGGGACCGTGGTCGAATCACTCAGCCACATCGAGCCTCAGTTTCCCAGCAGCAAAAGGCAGTGATTGAGAGCGTTGAATGAGCTGACACGTCACGTGTGAGGGCACCTGCAGCGGCCTTGTGCGAAGAAGACGCTCCCTCTGCTTGGAGGGCTTTGCGCAACTTCAGCCACGCTCTCTCGCCTCTCACCCCACCCCCAGCCCAAACCACGCCCATCCTTCAAGGCCCATTCAGATTAATCTTGAACTCACTCTTCACAACCCAATACCTCATCTCACTGACTGCTTAATAATAGTATTTTTAGCTGCTTTCCCCCCATCTTAAATTGTAAAGATTTTGAAACCAGGAACAGAATATCAGGCTTTGTAGGGTGCCCAAAGTCTCACTAACATGGGAAATAGAGCCCTGTGTAAACTTGGGGCTCCATGTGGTATTGGGGGCTTCAGTTTCATCAGTAAAATGGCAACAATAACCTTCCTCACACATTTTCCAGAAGATCAATTTAGATACTTGGTGTGAAACATAGTTAGGAGGAGTTGAATAAATATTGTTGAATGAATTGAAACTGATTTGAAAAATGGAAATCTTTAAAAATGTCAAACCTTATTTTTAACTCCCCATTGTTCGTTGTTCAATTGTTAAGTTGTGTCCAACTCTTTGCAACCCCATGGGCTGCAGAACACCAGCCTTCCCTGTCATCCACTATCTCCTGGAGTTTGCTCATGTTCAGATCCATTGAATCGGTGCTGCTATCCAACCATCTCATCCTCTTCCAGCTTCTTCTCTTTTTGCCTTCAATCTTTCCCAGCATCAGCGTCTTTTCCAATGGGTTGGAGCTCCAATAGTATATGGTAAAAGGCCTGATGTTTACTTGCTGCTAAGAGAAACTTGCCAACAAAGGTCCGTCTAGTCAAGGCTATGGTTTTTCCAGTAGACATGTATGGATGTGAGAGTTGGACTATAAAGAAAGCTGAGCACAGAAGAATTGATGCTTTTGAACTGTGGTTGTCGGAGAAGACTCTTGAGAGTCCCTTGGACTGCAAGGAGATCCAACCAGTCCATCCTAAAGGAAATTAGTCCTGAATATTCACTGGAAGGACTGATGCTAAAGCTGAAACTCCAATACTTTGGCCACCTGATGCATAGAGCTGACTCATTTGAAAAGACCCTGATGCTGGGAAAGATTGAAGGTGGGAGGAGAAGGGGACGACAGAGGATGAGATGGTTGGATGGCATCACCAACTGAATGGACATGAGCTTGAGTAAACTTCAGGAGTTGGTGAAGGACAGGGAGGCCTGGCGTGCTGCAGTTCATGGGGTCGCAAAGAGTCAGACATGACTGAGCAACTGAACTGAACTGACTGAAGAGAAACTGTATGCTTAAATATTTTCTCCAGTCACCCAGATGAAGACCAAAAGAGGCATCATACAGGGATTATAAAATGACTGGTTTTAACCAAAATTTCATCTTCCTTCTCAGCACGCCGAGATGACCACAGCCACCCCTTTGGGGGGTAACGCCGTCTACTCACTGAACGTGACCACCAGAGAAGACTTTCTGTACAAGAGTAAGATCAGCTTGGCTTGACGGCCAGGGGATCGAGGGTGGGACAGGTTTGCCTTCAGCTCCTGGTGTCAAGGTCAAGAGCGTGTCCTCTGCAGACAAAGTGCGTGGGTCTCGATGATGCCATTTGCCACCTGCATGAACCTGAGCACGTGACTTCACTGCTCTGGGCTTGTTTCAGCATCTATGTTGTTGTTGTTGTTGTTTAGTTGCTGAGTCGTGTCTGACTCTTTAGGGACCCCATGGACCGTAGCCTGCCAGGCTCCTCTGTCCAGGGGATTTCCCAGGGAAGAATACTGCAGTGGGTTGCCATTTCCTTCCCCAGGGAATCTTCCTGACCCAAGGATCAAACCCGAGGCTTCTGCATTGGCAGGCAGATTCTTTACCACTGAGCCCCCAGGGAAGCCCTCCTTGTCTGTACAATGGGAGGATTAATGATCTGCCACATAGGTAGGTGTGAGGGCTACAAGTGATAATCCACTTGAAGAACTTAGAATAGCCTCCATGCCTGTGAAACATGATGATTAGTCACTGAGTTGTGGCCTGATGGACTGTAACTTACCAGGTTCCTCTGTCCATGGGATTTCCCAGTCAAGAATACTGGAGTGGATTGCCATTTCCTTCTCCAGGGAATCTTCCTGACCCAGGGATCGAATCCATGTCTCCTGCATTGGCAGGTGGATTCTTTACCACTGAGCCACCAGGAAAGCCCGCCTAAGTACTTAATGAGTATTATTATTATTATTATTACTACCATTACTTTTATTTTCATTATGGAGTTTGGGGGCTTGGAGGGCAATGGGAATTTGAATCTCTTGTAGGATAGCCCTGCATGGGACTTCCCAGGTGGCCCAGTGCTTAAAAATCCACCTTCCAATGCAGGTAATGGGGTTCAGTCCCTGGTCAGAGAGCTAAGATTCCACGTGCTGTGGGGCAACCTAAGTTCACATGCCACAACTAAGATGTAATGCAGCCAAATAAATAAATATTTTTTTAAATGGCCCTATACGAGTCACCTTAAAATGCAACGACTTTCTTTTTTTTTTTTGAGAGCAAAAACATCCTGTCAGTTTATAAAGAAGTCAGTGAATGTAGGTGGGAAGAGTTAGTCCTGGGGAGACCTTTGCCAGGAATAAGAAGAGGGCCCCAGAGGAGAAAAGTGAGGACCACTCCTCAGAAAACCAACTGATTGTATTAGGTGAAGTTTGGGTCCATTTTGTACATGCATGCATGCATGCTAAGTTGCTTCACACATGTCTGACTCTTTGCCACCCTGTGGACTGTGTTCAGCCAGGCTCCTCTGTCCGTGGGATTCTCCAGGAAAGAATCCTGAAGTGGGTTGCCATGCCCTCCTCCAGGGGATCTTCCCAGCCCAGGGATTGAACCGACATCTCTTTCATCTCCTGCATTGGGAGGCGGGTTCTTTACCACTAGCGCCACCAGGGAAGCTCCCCTCCCCCATTTGGTACATACCTTTGCAAATGGAACAGGCCTCCCAACACACATGGAGCAGTGATGAGCAGTGATAATTGGCTCCAGACTGTGGTACTGGCAGGAAGCTAGATTCATGGCAGGATGTGTCTCTTACATGGAGACCCACTCTTGCGACAGGGTCTCACATGTTAGCCTGCTCTTTGCTGGGTGCAGAGACCTACAGAGGCCTGCTGAGGAGTGTCTCAAAACAGTTCTGAAGGGAAATGCAAAGCAGATAGAATTAGTGTCAGCAAGGTGGGACTAATAATATCAACCAGGCAATTTTGCCCCCTAAATAGGATTGCCAGATTGAGCAAATAAAAGAACAGATTACCAATTAAATTTGAATATAAGATAAACAATTGATAGATTTTTAGAATAATAAAGGATATATGTAATATTTCAGACATATTTTGAAATTTATCATTATTTATAAGATATTCTAATATACTTGGGTATCCTATATTATATCTGGCAACCCTACCACTGGAGATATTTGGCAATGCCTGAAGATGTTTTTGGTTATCCCATCTGGGGGTGTGTGGGGAGAAGCGCTCCTGGCATCTAGTGAGTATAAGCCAGGAATGCTGCTGAACACCCTTCAGTACAGAGGACAGCCCCCATGGCAAGGAATCATCTGGCCACTGGTTGAAAACCCCACTGGACTCCCCAGGAAGGACAGGAAAGCAAGTTACTCCATGATGGATTTCCCACCCCCTCCATTTGTCCCTCCCAATCTTTCTTCCTATGAATAATTGCGCAGGTCTTTTTTTTTAAGTAAACTACTTTTTGGCCATGCTGTGGGAGGCATGTGGGATCCTAATTCCTTGACCAGGGATCAAACCTGTGCCCCCTGCAGTGGAAGCGCAGAGTCTTAATCACTAGACTTTCAGGAGGAAAGTCCAAAAGTAGGCTTTTTATAAAAGCATTACATACATGCAAAAAATTGCACAAATGATAAGTGGCACAGCTGGATGAATTTTCAGAGTGCACACAGCTGTGTGACCAGCACCCAGATGAAGGAGCAGACCACCATCGGTATGCCAGAATTTCCAGTGCTCCTTGCAGTCATTAGCCCATGCCCACTCAAAGGAACCCACTCTTCTGATTTCTACCACCATAGATTAATTCTACCCTGGTTTTGAACTTTGTATACATGGAATCATGTATCTGTATCTTTTGTATCTGACTTCTTTTGCTTAATGTTATGTTTGTATATACATATTTTAATGGTTGCAATATGTATATGTGGTTATGTGTATAGTATCATATTCTATTTTCCACTTTTACATCATCGTAAGTGTTCCATGTACCAGAATCTTCATAATCATTATTTTAATTATTGTATAATACTTCAAGGGATAAGTATACCATATCTTTTTCAACCTTTTCCATACTTAGAATATTTATAATGTAATAAGCATTTTCATTTATACAGCTTTTTCTTTACTGGGGATTACTGCCTATGATCAATTATCCAGAATCAAATAGATTGGTTTAAAGTGTGAACCTTTGTTATGATTCTTGATACTTTCAGTATCAATTCTGGCAAGGATATTGATCTTGAACCTAAAATTAGAAATTGACATTAGGACTGGGCGCTGATATTGAAAGGAGAACCTGAGATATTAAGCTACAAGGACATTCATTATAGCCTTGTTTTTAATAGTGTAAAACTGAATGCAACATAAATATCCTCAATAAAGAACTGGCAAATAACTTATGGCCAGCCAAACAATGGAGTACTATACAACCTTCAAAAGTCATGAAGAAAACTATATACCTATTATAGCAATATGATCAGGATATTTTGTTGTAAAACAGTTTATGGAACATGGTTCCATTTTTATCAACTGCATATTTTTCCATATTTATGAATATTTTCTTAAGATAGATTTTTCAGACAGGATTATTAAATTATTCAAAAGATTATGGATATTTAATATGTACATATGCAAAAATATGATCACATTGGTGAATGTATACATATGTAGACTCTCAGTGGTTCTTGGGGCAATGAGGTCTTAGCCTCCCCTCCTTTTTGGCTTGTATTTATATTACCAAAATTATCTACAGAGGCTTCTCTGGAAGTCTAGTGGTTAAGACTTCACACTTTGAATGCAGAAAAAAACATGGGTTCAATCCCTGGCCAGGGAACTAAGATCCTACATGCCATATGGCACAGCTAAAATACACATATAAATCTACAAAAATTACATATTAATTTATATGATCAAAAAGAAGCAAGGATGTTTTGTTTCATGAAAGAAGTTTGGAGTTATGTTGGGGATGATAAGAGCAGGACTGGACCTACAGCAGAATTTTGGCAGGTAATGTACTGAGGGCCCGCACACACACAGCAGGTAGCGGTGCTCTGCTACCCTAGAGCGATTCTCTCCTGGGGTCAGCAGTGAGTGTTCCAGCAGTGAGTGTGGCTTTCACGCCTCTCCTCGACCCAGTGAGGATGCAGGGAGCCACTGTATGGGTCTTGCTCTCACCTTCCGAATCCTTCTTTGGATTTCAGTTTGCACACTAGCTCAGGCTTCCCCGGTGGTTCAGACTGTAAAGAATCTGCCTGCCATGCTGGAGACCCAGGCTCGATCCTTGGGTCGGGAAGGTCGTCTGGAGAAGGGAATGGCTACCCACTCCAGTATTCCTGCCTGGAAATTCCCTGGCGTGCTACAGCCCATGGGGTCACCAAGAGCGCACATGAGTGAGCAACTAACACGTTCTCTGCACATTGGCCATCTCCACCCCTCTCTTCTCGTAGGTTCTGGAGCCATCGTTGCTGCCATTGTGGTGGTTGTCATCATCATCTTCACCGTGGTTCTGATCTTGCTGAAGATGTACAACAGGTACGGGATGCGCTGGGCTTTAGAACCATCTGGTCCCTTCAGTGATGCTAGAATGAATGGAAGCTCACGTTTGTAGTTGCCTGTTATCTGCACAGCAGTATCTTTGAGTCCATTTTCAAATGCTCTTACCTTTTGTGGGTCCTTTTTTGATGTTTATTCTACTGGAAGAATAAACTTGACTGGTGGCTCAGACAGTAAAGCATCTGCCTGCAATGTGGGAGACCCAGGTTCGATCCCTGGGTCGGGAACATCCCCTGGAGAAGGAAATGACAATCCACTCCAGTACTCTTGCCTGGAAAATTCCATGGATGGAGGAGCCTGGTAGACTACAGTCCATGGGGTCGCAAAGTAAGACACAACTGAGCAACTTCACTTTCACTTTCACTACTGGAAGAACTTCACAGTGGCCATAGATTTTTGTATTTAGAGAAGTATTTTCCATATACAGTAATGATAATGACAGTGGAAGTGTCTAAATAGACATTGTTCCAAAGAAAACACACAGGTGGCCGCACTCAACATGACTGAATATTAGAGAAGTGCAAATCAAAGCTGTAATGAGGTCGAGTTACACATGTATCAGATATACTTAGGGTTGCCAGTTGGTAGGGAGGGAGGGATAAATTGGAAGATTGGGATTGACATATAAATACTATTCTATATAAAATAGATAATCAATAAGAACCTACTGTATAGCATAGGGAACTCTGCTCAGTACTCTGTAACGCCCTATATGGGAAAAGAATCTAAAAAAGAGTGGATATATGTATATATATAGCTGATTCACTTTGCTGTACAGCTAAAATTAACAGAATATTGTAAGTCAACTATATTCCAATACAAATTTGAAAAAAAAAACCTATAATGAGGTATCACCTCATATTGATCAGAATAGCCATCACTAAAAAATCTGAAAATAATAAATGCTGGAGAGGGGGTGGAGAAAAGGGAACCCTCCTGCACTGTGGGTGGGAATGCCAATGGTGCAGCCACTGTGGAGAGCAATATGGAGGTTTCTTAAAAACCTTAAAATGAGAGTAACCACACATGCGCGCTAAGTTGCTTCAGTTGTGTCCAACTCTTTGCAACCCTGTGGACTATAGCCCACCAGGCTCCTCTGTCCATGGAATTCTCCAGGCAAGAATACTGGAGTGAGTTGCCATTTCCATCTGTTCAGTTGCTCAGTCATGTCCAACTCTTTGCAACCCCATGGACTGCTGCACGCTAGGCTTCCCTGTCCACCACCAACTCCCGGAGCTTGCTTAAACTCATGTCCATTGAGTCGGTGATGCCATCCAACCATCTCATCCTCTGTCATCCCTTTCTCCTTCTGCCTTCAATCTTTCCCAGCATCAGGGTCTTTTCCAGTGAGTCAGTTCTTCACATCAGGTGGCCAAATTATTGGAGTTTCAGCTTCAGCATCAGTCCTTCCAATGAGTATTCAGGGTTGGTTTTCATATGAACTAGCAGTTCCACTCCTGGGCATATATCCAGAGAAAAACCGTACTTCAAAAAGATACATGCACCCCAGTGTTCATAGCAGCACTACTTAACAATAGCGAGACATGCGAACAACCTAAATGTCCATCAACAGATGAATGGATGAAGAAGATATGGTATGCATACAGAATGGAATACTCCTCCATGAAAAAGAATAAATAATGCCATTTGCAGCAACATGGATGCACCCAGAGGTTATCATACTAAGTGAAGTCAGTCAGAAAAAGGCAAATATCATATATCATTTATATAAGGACTTCCCTGTAGCTCAAACGGTAGAGAAAATGCCTGCAATGCAGGAGACCAGAGTTCGATCCCTGGGTCAGGAAGATCCTCTAGGGAAGGGAATGGCAATCCACTCCAGTATTCTTGCCTGGAGAATCCCATGGACAGAGGAGCCTGGCAGGCTACAGTCCATGGGGTTGCAAAGAGTTGGACACGACTGAACGACTAACACACACACATCTTTTGCATATAGGACCTAAAATCTGATACAAATGAACTTATTTATAAAACAGAAACAGGGGCTTTCCCTAAGTGTGGCTAAGACACCACACTTCCAATGCAGGGTGTGCACTGGTCAGGGATTCTTTTTGGCAGTGTGGCCAAAAATGAAATAAGTAAATAAGATACAACTGAAACAGACTCGTAGACATAAAAAACAAACCTATGGTTGCTGAAGGGAAAAGGTGGGGGTCGGGGGAGAGGAATAAATTAGGAGTTTGGGGTTAGCAGATACTATATATAAAATAGATAAACAACAAGGTCCTACTGGATCGCACAGGAAATTATATGCAGTAGCAGTATCTACAGTAATCTCCTCGCTGGAGCTGTGGTTACAGAGCCTGTTCCGCAGGGCACACAACAAGGAAGACTCAGCCCTGTGTGGGTATCTCATTACAGGAAAATGAGGACGAGACGGGAGCTGGAACCCAAGGGCCCCAAGCCAGCTTCCCCTTCTGCCCTGGGCGCAAACAGCAATATCAGCCAACAGCCTGCAACGGTGACCTTCAGCCCTGTTGATATCCACGTGGAGGCTCGGTGACGCCCACGCTGGTGCTGGCTCAGCCACCGACCAAAGAGCCTTCAGTCAAGACCAAGAAGCACATTTCTCCTCTGGCAGCTTCACGATGAGTCCCTTCCAATCAGGTTGACTGGGGCATCTCTTACTCAATCCCTTATGCTTCTGGTGACTCCCAACCCCATCCTGCCCGACCCCAGCCCAGCTTCATCCATATCCCTGCCGCCACCCTTCCTAAAAGCTCTGCTACGTCGGGAATCCACTGATGTGGGTTTAGTCATCTCCCCTAAACACAATAGTTAGACAGACAGACAGGTAGGCAGGCATGCAGATAGCCCAGGCGTCTTCTGGTTAGGAGTCAGGAGTCAGGGCGTGCTCCTGAGAGTCATGGGGTCTGCCTGGGGTCATATCAGAGGAAGGGCCCTATCCGTAACTTTGCAGCCGAAAATACCCGATCCCATAATCAGGCACAGGGGAACTAACTGGGACTCACTAACCAAAACTCAACTTGTTCATGTACAACTTGTTCTAGAACTAAATGAACACCAGCTAGCTTCTGACAACTGATCTGCACATTCCTCCGTCTTTAAGAAAGGTTACAGAAAAAACTGAATTCTCCAAAAGTGTCTACGTCTTTAGTAAAGAGTCAAAGTCAAGGACACAGGATGACCTTGGGAAGACAAGGGAAGAGTGGCCTCTAGGATGAGAGCGTATTGCAGTGTCCACGGGCCAAGAATGAGCCTGGAGGCTGGCCAGGGCCCCTCCCACCCCAGGGGGCGGTGCAGCTGGGTTACCCTTGCCTCGGGCTCATCTCTTGGCTTCCCTCTATTTGGATTCTGAGCATCCTCACTCCAAGGTCAGGTGTTTGGAGACTGATTAGATTACAACTCTATTTATGTTACCTCTAGCCTTCCTGGTCACTTTACAAAGATTCTGGATATATTCAAAGTTCCATATTCACAAACCATTCCCCTGGACAGAACTTATCTCTTTGACTCCTTAGCCTGGAGAACAGTTGAAAAAGGAAAGAATTTGGGATTAAAGTGATGTGTTTTCTAAGCCCCACTTCCTGTTTGTGAGACCTTGGGAGAGTGACTTGACTCCTCCCTATTCTGTTTCCTAACATGAAATGGAATAATGTCTGCCCCACTGGATGACTATATCACGTCAAGCACCTAGTAAAGTAGCTCAGGTGGTGCCTGGCACCCAACAGATGTGCTCTAAATGGGAACCAGCATTATTATCATGAATTTCTTCCATTGCAAGACATATGCTTGTTCCCATTTTAATGATTCTGAAGTCAGAATATGTTTTAAAATTGATGGACCCATTAACAAAGTTGTATTTTTTTCCCTCTCAAAAAGCTGTTTTTTAACCAATTGTACATTTTATAATTGACAACATCTTGGAAACAAGGTAATAAATCTGTATTGTGTTACAGAAAGTGACACACTCTGATCTTTAATCTTAAATTCTAGGAGTCTCTCCTTCTTGTAGTCAGATATCCCTTTCGAGGGAAAACTGAGGATCTTGGAGGTAGGAAGACTGACCCAGAGTTATACGGCTCCTGTCACCCCACTATAAAAATGCTCACTTCACATTGTCTGGAGAGGGACTTTCCTGGCAGTCCAGTGGTTAATACTTCACACTCCCAGTGCCGGGGCATAGGTTCAATCCCTGGTCAGAGAACTATGAGCCCTGAGGGCCATGTGGCCAAACACACACACACACAAGAATATGTCTGGAAAAACACTGGCAAATTCTTTCTTCCCAGACTTCTCTTCTCCATCCTGTGTTTAAATATCCACCAGACACTTTTCAAGGTGCTTTCATATAAATTTTCTCCTGGGATTTGTCTTTCCCAGTTACCCTGGGAGATGCTATTTTTTCCATTTGCCATTGAGAATTTCAAACTCAAAGAGAAAAAATATTTGCCAAAAGTCTCACAGCTAGTAAGTTGCAAAGACAAGACTCAGATCCAGGTCTCTTTGACTCCAGGGTCATCTTTGTGTTGTATCATACTCTTCCCTAACACCCTGGCTCAAAGAATGTGGATTCTTCTGTGAGTTGAACAAGAGTAGGACAGGCTTATTCATGTGTCTGAGTGGAGGCCAGGGTCTAGCTTCCACAACAAAAGTGGGGTAAATTCACTTTGTTAGCTTCTTTGGGCTTCTGTAGCCAAGGGGGCCCTTTCCAAGTCCATCCAGGCTCTAAGGAGTCCTGCTTCATTCCCCCTACCATTTAATCTCAAGGAGCAAGGCATGAGATGCCTCAAACCAGGGCAAAGCCATTTAAGGACTCAAGCACACATAGATATGTTTCCCAAAAGTATTTTGCTTTAAAAAAAAAAAAAAGTTGGACCATAAAGAAGGCTAAGCACCAAAGAACTGATTCTTTCGAACTGTGGTGTTGGAGAAGACTCTTGAGAGTCCCTTGGACATCAAGGAGATCAAACCAGTCAATCCAAACAAAATTAACCCTGAATATTCATTGGAAAGACTGATGCTAAAGCTGAAGCTCCAATACTTTGGCCACCTGATGCGAAGAGCCGACTCATTGGAAAAGACCCTGATGCTGGGGAAGATTGAAGGCAAGAGGAAACGGGGACCGCAGACAGTAAGATGGCTGGATGGCATCACTGACTCAATGGACATGAATTTGAGCAAACTCCGGGAGATAGTCAGACACAACTTAGTAGCTGAACAACAAAAACTACTCAAAACCCAAACTCTTCTGCCCACAGTGGAATCTTCCAAGAAAGAAAAGCATATTCCTCTAGTATAAATGAAAGTTTGGAAATGGAAAAGGAGGGTAGAGAGGTGAGGGGGAGGCAAAGAAAAAAGGATTGTTGTGTTTTGGTTTTCACTGATGACGATGAACTCAATAAACGTCCTTAGGGCTCCTGTGTGCCAGTTGAGGTGCTACTACACACAGTAAGCATGGTCTCTGCTCTCAGGGAGTCTGCAGCTGGCCTCCTGAGACAGGCATCTTGCAACACAGTTGTATTTTGTTTCTGACAGGTGCCTTTCCACACTGAGCAGATGGTGCCTTATTTGGCTACTGAATCAAAGAAAGATATTAAATGCTTAAATGTCTAAAAATAAAAAAATGTTTAAATCAAATATTTGTTGAGTTGATTTCAATTTGGAGCTAACAAATACCTTTTCTGGAAACTTTCTTTCCTTGACAATGTAAACAGGATCCTAAGGGAAGGCCAGAGCTGCTTCAAACATTGCACTCTCAGTTCTGAAGGATGGTGGAAAAGGTGGACTGCTCTGTGAGCTAGAAAACTTGTTAACTTCATTAAATATTAAAAAGGGAATTCCATTTCACAGTAGGCTGAGATGCCGAAGTTTGGAGACCCCTAGGAGTGGAGGAGACATTAGAATAGAACCCAAATTACCAATAGTGATGTTTACCATTAATTAAGCTCCTCTCTGTGCCAGGCATAGGATGAGTCCCTTCTACCCACTAGCTTCTTTAGCCATTACGACTCCCATGCATAGGGTGAGCATTATTTATATTTTTTGGATGAGGAAACAGGTGCAAGTGAATCAGGGAAGGGGGCAGGGCACAACCTTCAAAAGAATGGTACAGTCCGAGGACACGACATAAACTTAATAGAACTAAATAGGTTCAAGATGGTGGATTTGTCAACTTCCACTAAACCTGGAGCCTCAGTATACATTCATTGTAACATGTCAGCAAGCTAAATGACACCCTCACAGGTGCCATGACAATTTCCAGGCAGACCTTAAAGGTCAAAAAGTGGTTGATGGCCCAATTCCTGGAAATCTCCACCCCCTTCCCCAAAAGAGCTGGAACACTTCTTCCACACATTAGCCTATGAAATTACCCAGCCCATAAAAGCTAACCACACCATATTTCGAGGCAACTCTTGTCTTCTGAGATGATTCACACCCTCTGTGCGGAATGTGTTCCTCTCTAAATAAATCTACTCTGGCTCCCCTGGTGGCTCAGACGGTAAAGCGTCTGCCTACAGTGCGGGAGATCCGGGTTCGATCCCTGGGTCGGGAAGATCCCCTGGGGAAGGAAATGGCAACCCACTCCAGTATTCACACCTAGAAAATGCCATGGACCGAGCAGTCTGGTGGGCTACAGTCCATGGGGTCGCAAAGAGTTGGACATGACTGAGCAACTTCACTTCACTTCACCTATTACTTTGTCTCTCATTGAATTCTTTCTGCCATGAGACATCAAGAATCTGAGCGTCTTTAAGTCCTAAAACCAGATGTGTGATCTCAGTTGGAAGATCATGGATTTTGGCTGGATTTGAGCCCCCGCACATGAGTTCAAGTCCTAATCTGAGATGAATGGTCTCAATATCATTGACATTTGTCCTTTTGGTCATGTTGACTTCATTTGGCTGGTCTAATGATTGCTGCTGCTGCTGCTAAGTCACTTCAGTCATGTCCAACTCTTAGCGACCCCATGGACTGCAGCCCACCAGGCTCCTCCGTCCATGGGATTTTCCAGGCAGGAGTACTGGAGTGGGGTGCCATTGCCTTCTGTGGGTCTAATGATTAAATTGACACAAAACAGATTAACAGGAGAAAAATATTAATTCATATGTACAGAGGTCAGAAATGAGACCTCCAAAGTGAACAAAGCAGGATATTTATGCAATATCATTTTTGGTTCATTGTGGGGGCTTCCCTGGTGGCTCAGATGGTAAAGAATCTGTCTGCAATGCAGGAGACCCTGGTTCGAACCCTGGGTCAGGAAGATCCCCTGGATAAGAAAATGACAACCCTCTCCAGTATTCTTCCCTGGAAAATCCCATGGACTGAGGAGCATGGTGGGCTACAGTCCATGGGGTCACAAAAGAGTCAGACATGAGACATGACTCAGCGACTAAACAACAGCAACAACAGTGAAACAAAGAGGCTTTTGGAGTAACAGATGAATGAAGAAGTGACAATATTTGTTTATACAGTTTTATTAGCCTTGACTTTCCTAACTCTGCTGATAAGGGTGCTCTCTCTCCTCCTGGTAGAAGGAGGATAGCTTAACATGGGAGATTTATTTCCCACTATCAAGGAGAGATGGGATGTTAGGTTTTTATAAATATCATTTTTTTCCCCACCAGCTGTTTCCCAAGCAACCTTAATTCAAAATAATCAAGAAGCCATTGTGGCGTATCTTGGGGCAGGCTACTCTGAGCACCAACAGTGACCATTCTTGTGTTTGGGAAATCTTCTACTTAAAAAGAGGCAGGACCACCTCCTGCTATAAAAGCTGGAAAGGCCAGACGCTCATTTTCTCGGAGTCCCTTGCAGTTAGGGCGAGGTCACATGACCTAGGCTCTGCTAATCAGACACTCCTGCCACAGACTTCAAATCCAGAGTTGGCAACATCAAGGGATAGGAACTGTGCAGAATCTGCTCTGGTGGTAGGTGTTGGCACCCTACACTTAAGGGGCAGCCACATCAGGGATTTGAGCTGCCACATCGGGCATTCTTTTCTTTTTTAATTTTTCTTTTTTTTTCTTTGTTTCATTAATTAATTAATTTTATTTTGGGCTGTGCTGGGTCTTCGTTGCTGCGTGTGGGCTTTCTCTCGTTGCAGCGATCGGGAGCGCCTTTTCATTGCGGTCACGGGCTTCTCCTTGTGGTTTCTCTTGCTGCGGAGCATGGACTTGTCTAGGCGCACAGGCTTCAGTACTTGTGGTGCACAGGCTTAGTTGGCTCAAGGCATGTGGAATCTTAGTTCCCGGAACGGGTATCGAACCCATGTTCCCTGCATGGAATCCCCTGAACAGGCAGATTCTCCACCACTGGACCACCGGGAAAGTCCCAGGGGGCATCCTGGAGTCCAGCCCCAGTGCCCGTTGGAGTTGGCTGTGTGAGCTCTACCTGACAACCACAGCCGTGGGATCTGTCCCAAACTGGTTCTATGGTGTAATTTTAAGCATCATACCTGGCATCATACCTCTGAGCCTGCTTCTGGCCTTCTAGGAATTCTAGCAACTACCTGATTCCTTTTTCTGCTCAAGAGTCACTTCCTGCTGCTTGTAGCTAAGTGCCGTGTGGCTGTGGGGGACTCATGTCTGTGCCCACCCACGTGGTAAGTGACTGGCCCTAGAACCCAGGTCCCCAGAGCTCTCTCTCTTTCCATGCAGATGCTTCCAGGTGTGTGAGCAAAGGATCCCAAAGTGCCATGAGACTATAGAGGAGGTAGAGTTACTGTCAATTCCTCTTAACCCAGAGACTGTGTGACTTTTTGAATGCTATTGAGGGAGTATTTTAAAAGTACATGGAAGAATGGGTAGGATTTTTTTTTTTAATTTTTAATTGAAATATCACACACACACATAAAATGTGTGTATGCAGCTCAAAAAATGTTCACAAATTGAGCACACTTGTGTAACTGGCATGCAAATCAAGAAGTATTCCTAGCACCCTAGCACCTCCTTCTTCCTCCCACCCTGCTCACCTCCCACAAGGAGTACCCACGATCCTACCTTGTTCCACCATAGAACGACTGTGTCTGTAAGTAGCATTACAGTGTAGACTCTTGTTTCTGGATTGTTTTGCACAGTATGGCGTTTGTAATACATGTTCATCTTGTCACCTGTAGTTGAAGAGCATCAATTCTCATTGTGGTGGTATTTCATCATGTCACAAAAATTATGTTTAATTTTTTTTTGGCCTCAACATGCAACATGTTGGATCTCAGCCCCACCCCCACCCCCCAACCCCGCTCATTGGAAGAGCAGAGTCTTAATCACTGGATCACCAGGGAAGTCCCTTATTGTGTTTTTTAACGTGTTTATTTTTAATTGGAGAATAACTGTTTTACAACGTTGTGTTGGTTTCTGCCATGTATCAACATGTCAATATGGTTTTAGCTTGTATTCCCTGATGATGAGTGGAACTGATGTCCATGTTTATTGGCCATTTCAGTTTCATTAGGCTTCCTCTTTCACAAAGTTGCCTTTCCATTTGTCCGTCCATTGTTTGTGCTTGGGTGTTTCCTTTTCTATCATTGATTTGCTGGAGTTGTGTATCTGTTCTGGATATAAGTCCTCTGTCATCTTATGGCT